CGGCGGCCGGGGGAGGTGCGCCTGGGAGGCGGTGCAGGGCGCCCCGTCCGAGCCCCATCTCTCGACTCTACCGATTTACTCCATATTGGATTCTCACCGCCGCCAACAGGAGGAGGAAGTAGGGCGGAAGCGATGACGTCTTCCCAGCGGCCAGAGGTGGTGGAGTGCAAAAAGCTTCCTACTTGCGACCGAAAAAAATGAGAGAGAGAGGAGAAAAAAAGAAGAAGAAAAAAACACAACTTTGTCCCGTCTACTGAGCATGCCCGGCTTTCTCTCCCCCCCCTCCCTTCTGGCTCCCACTCCCGGGGGAGCCGCGGAGCCGAGTTGTTTGCACCGCGTCTTTGTGACTCCGGATCCTCCTTCGTCTGAACTCCGGGTTTTAAGATGCCCGGGAGGAGGGAGGAGGCGGGGGCGGGGGACTCGCACACATCTGGCTCCCGTTCAGCTCCCTCCCTCCTACCAAACCCCTGGATTGAAAATCGGGGGGTGGGGAGGAGGAGGAAGGGTGGAGACAGAGAGCTCAGGGTAGGGCCGGAGCGGTGCTCGGGCTCTGAAGATCAACTACTCCCCCACCGAGGGGCGGGAGGGTGAGCGCGGCACAGGTGCTTTTGCCAAGGTTCTGAATGGCAGAGGCTTTTCAGTTTCCCGTGAATCTTACGGTCTTTTTTCCCCTCTTTTGTCTTAGTAAGGGAACGGGCATTATTTTACGTAAAAAAAAATAAAAGATAAGTCCAACGCAGCCGAGAAACGTTTGCATTTTAGTAGGAATGACAGGCTTTCTTGGGTTAAAAGGTAAGCCCATATATACATTTTTATTCAGTAAATCTTTCTCATATTGGTGGAGGATGGCCTGTCCCAGGCTCTTGAAGGCCATAGTTATGGAGAGAAAAGAGCTCCTCCAGTCGCCCTTTCCTTCCCTTTTTTAAAAAAAATATATTTTTATTGATTTCAGAGAGGAAGGGAGAGAAAGAAACGTCAATGATGAATCATTGATTGGCTGCCTCCTGCACACCCCCTACTGGGGATCGAGCCGCAGCTGCAACCCGGGCATGTGCCCTTGATGGGGATCGAACCTGGGGACCCTTCAGTCCGCAGGTCGCCGCTCTATCCACTGAGACAAACCAGCTAGGACCCCTTTTCCTTCCCTTTATCTTCAAATTATTTTTCCGACCTTGTCCTGGGACCATAGCCTAGGTGGGCCCATGCTCTCCAAAACAGCACTGCCTGGGCAATGGGCAGGCCTTGCTTGCTGGGCATGCACCCTGCTCCGTTGCACAGGGACCTTGGCTTGTTTTATGCTCTGTTGTTGGAGGCTTGGCATTCTTTATAGTGTTTGAACAAACAAGGGGCTCCCCATTGTTATTCTGTAGTGGGCCCCACAATTTGCACCGCTGTTGGGTATTAATTCTGGGATTTTGCTAGGGAGCAAGGGATACAGTCCCGCACCTTCCTGCTCTCCAAACACAGTAGACTTTTCCATCCTCCCAAATGTGCTAAGAGACTACACAGGTATTTTAACTAAACAGCAGCCACTGAATGAATTTAAAGTAGATTAAACATACCTTAAATGTAGTACACACACACGCACGCACGCACGCACGCACGCACGCACATTTGGAGAGCCACAAGTGCTCCAAAGATAGAGTTTCACCTTGAGTCAAGGCAAAATTGGTGGTTTACCCTAACTCAGTGCTGATCACAACCATGAACTTTCTAGATATGGATCAGGCTTGACCACCTTTGATGCTGAGTGATGTTGTATGGAGGTGAAAACGGCACCGGATGGAAGGCATACCTGGGTTCTGGTTTTCTCCTGGCAGCCTGAAGACCCTGAGTGAAGCTTTTAGCAATTCTGCAGTTTCTTCATAAAACAGAGATAACAAGGCGGAGGTTGTCTTTCTCAGCTTTTGAGGCCATTGAGAGTCTATGAAAAAGCACTGAACAGAGCAAGATCTCATTGGTCTCTAAAGCCCCATAAAGCTAAGGTGTCTATCTGGTTATCACCTTTGGCCATTGTTGCTTTTGCTGAAAGAGGTCCCACTCAGTCATTCCTGGACTTCTGGGAACACAAACATTTGTCCATATCAAAATTACCCATCCAATGGGCATCTCTTTGGCTCCACCTCCAGTTTTAGAAAGTCCAAATGACAAAGTGGCAGGTGAGGTGGTTATTCATTTCTGTAGGTAGCCAAGCAGAATTGGTGTCATCACCACTCATTTACCCAGCTCCCTGCTAATAGCAGTGAATGACCGGCCCTGCCCTAGCCAGGCAACCAGAGCTAAGAAAAACATTCAAGGTCCAGAATTCACCAGGTCCCTGGTTGGTTGCCCTGGTGCCACACTCCAGAAGGTTTTTCAGTTCTCTGAGCCTTGGGTTCAGTGTCTGTAGTGTCAGGATAATGCCCACAAATGGGGTCTCGGGGAAGATTAAATGGCTATACAGAGAGGGTACTGTGTTAAGCACACTGCAAGTAGGAAATTAATGGCAACGCTTTCTTCTTTCCAGGCAGCTGTATTACTATATTGCTACCCCGGGTACTTCATGTTCCTCTAAAGCAGTGGTTCTCAATCTGTGGGTCGCGACCCCTTAGGGGGGTCAAACGACCCTTTCACAGGGGTCGCCTAAGACCATCAGAAAACACATATATAATTACATATTGTTTTTGTGATTAATCACTATGCTTTAATTATGTTCAATTTGTAACAATGAAATTGGGGGTCACCACAACATGAGGAGCTGTATTAAAGGGTCTCGGCATTAGGAAGGTTGAGACCCACTGCTCTAAAGAAAACCTTCCAGTTTTCTTTTGCTTTGTTCATTTCCCAAAAGGGGCCTTTTGATGGGAATGTTCGTAACAGGTCACCTCTCGATCCTCCCCATCAATTAACAACTGTACCATAGAATAAATGGCATATTGGGCGAATAACTCAGGTATATTTACTGATCTGCATATCAGGATGTTATCAAAGAATACTGGATTGTTACCAGAATAGGGGTTATCACGGATTTAGGCCTTTAATTTAATGACATTACTGAAAGAGCTAAACACCCATATCCCTGTCTCTCCCCCACAACCTCCAAAACGGGGAACAAGGCAGCTCTAAACACGATCAAATCAAGGGTGTCGACTCAGAGTGAGACAGTACAGCTTCAAAAGTAATGTCGATCTACTCACAACTTCACGT